AGGCAAGTCCCAAGCCCCAAGTCCGGATGGATTTATAGCAGGGTTCTACCAAAAGTATTGGGGACTAGTCAATCATGATGTTCTCCAAGCGGTACAAGCCTTCTTCCATTCTGGCCGACTATTAAGATCCTTTAACCACACTTGGATTTCCCTGGTGCCAAAAGTTAATGATGTGAGAACCATGAAAAGTTTAAGACCCATCGACCTCTGTCAGGTAATCTACAAAGTCATTGCCAAAATCTTGGTTGATAGACTTAGCACGGTGTTGCTCAGCATTATTTCCCAATCTCAAAACGGGTTCATCAAAGGCCGCCAAATTTCAGACAACATTCTGATTAGTCATGAAATGGTTCATCATCTTAAAACTTCAAAATTTAGAAAGAAAAGGTGGATGGCAGTGATACTGGATATGGAGAAAGCTTACGACCAGGTAGAATGGCCTTTTCTCTTCAAAATGATGAGAGTACTTGGCATTCATCCTCGATTAATTTCATGGATAAAATAATGTGTCACAACAGTATCATATTCTGTACTTCTTAATGGCTCACCATCTCAGTACTTCAAACCCTCCAGAGGGTTAAGGCAAGGCGACCCTCTATCCTCTCTACTTTTAGCCATCTGTGCAGAAGGATTCTCGAGTAAGCTAAGGAAAGCAACGTCTTTGAAATATCTAGAAGGAATTAGAATCAGACCCCACTGCCCGATGATCTCTCATCTATTCTTCACAGATGACTGGTATCTATTCCTAGATGCCTCCCCAGAATATTGCACAACTCTCCTTTCACTCCTCCAAACCTATGAAGAGTTGAGCGGACAACGAGTAAACCTAAGCAAATCGACTATTCTATTCATTCAGAACACGGATCCTATCGAGATAAAAAAGAGATACTTTCCTTTTTATGGAGGAGAAACTCATAAAGAAGCTACCAGGGTGGAAGCAACACTCGCTCTCCAAAGCCGGGAAGGATACTCTTATTAAATCTTCTGCCACTAACATTCCGGTACTTGGAATGTCATGCTTTAAACTCCTAAAGGAGAACTACAGACGTCTAAATAGTCATGTGGAAAAATTTTGGTGGGGAACTGCAGATAATACAGAACATCCGATCAACTGGCTATCCTGGAAAAGTCTTGCACATAGTAAGTTTCAAGGTGGACTAGGATTCAGAGATTTTGGAGCATTCAATCAAGCCTTGCTAGCAAAACAATGTTGGAGAATTTGGACTAATCCGAATTCTCTCATTTCCCAGATTTATAAGGGCCGATATTTTTCTCAATGCTCTATCCTAGAAGCAACAATTAGCTCCAACCCATCATGGGGATGGAGAAGTTTGCTATTCGGAAGGGACCTTCTTATTCAGGGGATAATATGGCAGATAGGCAATGGCCAAGAAACTAGAGCACTCTTGGATAACTGGCTTCCAGGAGACAAACCCTCAAGGCCAAAAATACGAGTCCATAATCCGTATGGGTCCCCCATGGTTTCTTACTTCATCGAAGAAGGACGTGGGGAGTGAAATATGCAAAGGGTTCAATCTTACTTTGAGCCTCAATCCATTGACATCATAAGAAGGATCCCCCTACCTCGTCTCCCACAACAAGATACCAGAGTTTGGCATTATGCCAAGGATGGAAAGTACACGGTCAAATCAGGATATCACCTAGCTCTAAACTCGGCCCTAGCAGTAAGCAGGAAACCGATGGTGCTTATAATCGACCCACCTATTTGGAATAAGACCTGGAATATCCAAGTCCCTCCAAAGCTTAAATTCTTCATATGCCAATGTCTTAGGATCATTCTACCCACTGTGGTAGCCTTACAAGCACGTGGAGTTAATTGCCTCAATAGATGTCCCGTTTGCTGGAGACATAGAGAGAGCATTGAACACTTATTCTTCAGATGCCCCCTAGCCACCAGGTTGTGGAATTTTGTGGGATTGAGCAACTTCATTGATTCCGCCCCAACTATTAACTTTAGTCTATGGTGGCGACATGTCATGATCTCTGAGATCTTCCCATTTCACATTCTCCGATGAGTCTGTCTACTTTGGAGAATATGGAAGTCTAGAAATGCAATGACCTTTGAATTGTACCAACCTCATGTCCGTTCCTTAGCCAGACAATTCTACAACCAGGTCCTAGAAGCCAATTTTCTCCCCCCCCCCCCCCCCACCTCCTCCCCCCACATATGTCCACCCAATCTCTCCATCGCCAGCTTGGTCTCCTCTTCCTGCCGACTTTTTGAAGATAAATTTCGATGCAGCATTTCGCGACACGGGATGCTCGTCTGGTCTAGTTGTTCGTGGCTCAGATGGGCATGTGGTGGTGGCAGTCGGTCTGCGTCACCAAGGAGTAGTCGACCCTTACCTTGCAGAGCTCTTAGCAGTGAGGGATGTCATCTCTTTCGTCGCTTCAAGATCCTTGTCTCAAGTGATTGTGGAAGGTGCTGTTGAGTTATGGGTTTTAGCCCATGCACGTATGACCAGGCCCATACGTAGCATAGGGGTTCTCAGCCTAGTAGGGTTAGGGCAGTCGAGTATATATTGATGTATATGCATGTAATTGTTGAGCATAATAATACGAGACTCCTCTTCCCGTCGTGGACTAGTCTTGCTCACACCGAGCAAGGAAACCACGTTAAATTCTATGTCGTGTTCCGTTTCGATCTTGTTCTTCGTTTCGTTTATCCGTTCCAAATAACATGGTATTGGCGCGTTTGAACTCGAAGAATTACGTGCTTTGGTAGTTCCAGTTCCGTATCTATATCGAAGGGAAATGGCTTCTCACCATGATCGATAAATCGTCGCCCAGACCTATTGTTCCGCCTGCTACCGCGCAAGCTTAGCTTCAATGGCAGCAAAACGATGTGTGCGTCAAGACTGCTCTTCTGAACTCTGTCGAGACGTCGATCGTGCGGGGTTTACGTACCCTCTCGACGGCGGCTGATATGTGGAGGAACTTGGCCGAAATGTATGGAACGATGAGCGTGGCTTGTCAGTTTGATCCCGAGATCACACTCTCTCAGATTCTGCAGGGCGATCGGGATATCGCCTCTTATTATAATGAGGCAAGGCAGCTCTGGACTGAGCAAGACTTGGTCTCTGCTGCGCTGATGCCGTTGGGCGTCTCTGAAGAAGCCCGAGCTGAAAAGAATCGGATTCGCTTGCTGCACTTTCTTGCGCGGCTTCGCCCGGAGTATGAGGCGTTTCGCGCCACGTTGATTCACCGTGATTCACTCAAGATGGAGGGGGTTCTCGGCGCCTTGCTGCAGGAGGAAACCCGACTTCGTGCGCAATCGGTTCTGGATGTCAAACCTGGTCAGGGAGACGCTAGCATCTTTGCAGTTGGCGGCAACCGCCCTTCCCGTTCCGTTTCCACTCCTCGTGCAGGGCGATCCGGTCCAACTGTTGCCCGTGAAGGACAATCCGCCCCTACTCCTGCTGTTCCGAACGATGAGACGGATGACTCCGCCTTCGCAGCCCTCCGTCCATAATTTCAGCGTCGCTCTGACGTCGAATGTCATCACTGCCGCCTCAAGGGCCACACACAGAAGTTCTGCCAGAAAAGAAATTGGTGCGTGTACTGTAAAAAGGCCGGCCACATTATCCCTGATTGTCCATCTCTGCAGGTTCGAGTGCGGGACGCTAGCAGCTCTTCTGGTGGCTCTTCTCAAACTCGACCGGCCTTTGCTACATAGCCTGCCGAGTCTGTCTGCGGTGCTGTTGTGACTCTTGATGCTTTGGAGCAACTTGTAAGCAAGGTAGTTGCCTCCTCCTTCGCCAGTCTGCAGGTTTCCGGTAAGCCTCTTCCATGGATTCTCGATTCCGCCGGTTTTAACCATATGACCGGACGTTTGTCTGCTTTGGAGAATGTTCGTCCTGTTTCGGGTATACGATTACAGGTTGCTAATGGCAATAAGTTAACTGTTCAGGGTGAGGGCACGGTTTCTCAACCTGCCATTACTCTTCCCTCCATCTTTTATGTGTCTGCTCTTGTTCCCAATCTTGTTTTGGTTGGCCAGCCCACTGATCAAAACTGTCGGGTTGTTTTTGCACCATCTGGTTGCTCTGTGTAGGATCTGACGACAGTGAGGGAGATCGGTCGGGGTAGCAAGTACGGGCGCATCTTTCATTTGGAGAAGCTTGATGCGTCGCCTCCTGTCACATCATCATCATCGTTAGTTCCTTCGGTGTCTAGATTGTCTCCCTGTTTGCCTGTGTTTTCTAGTACTCGTGATAAGAATTTTCATTTGTGGCACTCACGTTTGGGTCATCCCAACTCTGGTCGGCTTGCAACTATGTTTAAACAGCGGTTATTTGGTGATAATGTGATTGGTGATTCTTCGGATTTTTCGTGTACTTGCTGTGTTGAGGCTAAAGCTACTCGCTCCTCATTTCCTTCTAGCCAAACTGTTATCGTTGAACCCTTTCACATTATTCACACTGATCTCTGGGGTCCTAGCCCCGTGACCTCTCGCCATGGCTATAAGTACTTTGCACTTTTTTCGACCATGCCACTCGATATACTTGGGTGTATTTTCTTCGTCTCAAGTCTGACCTTCTTGTTGTAGCCACTGATTTTATCACCATGATCCAGACCTAGTTCTCTATAGTCATTCGTTTCATTCGTGCTGATGAGGGTGGTGAATTTAGTTCTCATCCCCTTCTTCAGCTCTATCGGTCTCGTGGTATTCTCTCTCAAAAGGCTTGTCCCGGTACCTCTAAGCAAAATGGTCTGGTTGAACGTAAGAACAGGCATGTCATGGAGATTACTCGTGCCCTTTTGTTAGCCTCCCATGTTCCGTCCTCCTTCTGGCCTGAAACTGTGTCTACCGTTTTTCGTTTAATCAACTATCAAATCACTACTGTCCTTGGTCAGTCTAGTCCATACCATAAGCTCTTTGATAAACATCCACCTTACTCTCGTCTTCGTGTGTTTGGTTGTACCTTTTCGTTCTCTGTCCCAGATCCGAACGCACTAAACTTATGTCTAAAATCTCCCGTTGTGTGTTCCTTGGCTATAGTGATATCCACAAGGGATATTTGTGTTATGAACCCTCCACCCAGCGTCTTCGTATATCCTGTAACGTCGTATTTTTTGAGAACTTGATGTACTATTCTAGCCCATCGTCCACCTCTCCACCACTTTTTGCTACGTCCCTTGGTCCACCGTCTTTTCCCGATGATGATGATGAACACGATGTGCTACCCTCCGACTCTCCTCCCACTTCCCCGGGCTCCACATCGTCCAGTGCCTCATCTTCGTCTTCGTCCACAAAATCTTCTCCAGCTGCGTCTCCTATGGAGGCTCCTGTAATGCCACGTCGATCACTCCGCTCTAATCTTGGGCAGCTCCCTGTTTGGTACCATGATTTCGTTACTTATGGTGTCGAGTCTATTCCTATCCCGACTCGTTTCTCGCAGGCACAAGGTAATCCGTTGTGGGATCGGGCTATGGACAACGAGATTGATGAGCTCCATGCCAATCATACGTGGGACGTTGTTCCCAGACCTCCGCCTGAGGTCCCTGTTGTCGGCAGTAGGTGGGTCTATACCCTCAAGATTAAACTGGATGGCACTCTTGATCGTTCTAAGGCTCGCGTGGTTTCCCAGGGATTCACACAAGAGTATGGTATTGATTTTACCGAGACCTTTGCTCCAGTTGCCAAGATGGTTACTGTTCGCTCCTTGTTGGCAGTAGCTTCTCTTAGTAATTGGCCTCTCTACCAGCTGGATGTGAAGAATGCCTTCTTGCATGGTGATCTGCAGGAGACAGTTTACATGGAATGTCCCCCCGGTTATGCGGCCTGATAAGGTTTGTCTGCTTTGCCGCTCCTTGTATGGTCTCAAACAGGCTCCGCGGGCCTGGTTTGAGAAGTTTCAGCATACGGTTCTTGAGCTTGGTTTTCAACTGAGTCTTAATGATCCGTCCTTGTTCACTTGTCGTACATCTCGTGGTCTGGTTGTCTTGCTCGTGTACGTCGATGATATGATTGTTACTAGTGATGATCCGGATGGTATTGAGGCCCTGACTAGTGGTCTCTGCAGCTCGTTTAATCTTAAGGAGCTTGGCGAGTTGTCATACTTTCTTGGTCTGGAGGTTCAACGGGTTCAGGGAGGCATTCTTCTTAATCAGCGCATGTACATTATTGATCTTCTTGACTCAGCTAAATATAGTGATTGTACACTGACTCGCTATGACACAACTCCTAACAAAGGCCAAGTGTAACCAATGAAAGGGACTGCAGTATTGACTCACTTCTACTGTCACTCCAGGAATTGGCCAAGTGAAACCACTTCCTAAAGCGTAGTATAGCGGGTTTTGGTTTAATTATCAACCCGGGTCCTAGATTTGATGACTACTCAGTGAATTCTTGTTATCTAGCAATGAAACTTTAATGCAAGTCTAAGCTAACAAACTAACAAAGCAAGTAAACTGTTGTATTCAGGTTAAGAGAGGTCACCCGGATATGGTTCCCCCTAGACTGCAGTTAAGCCGGATTGTAATTACCAAGTTCAGTTTCTATGATAGTTATACTGCGGAAGGTTCTTAGACAGCCTGAAGTCTCGACTAAAGGTCTTCAGACCCTCTCAATCTGAGTCTCTAGCGGGCGACTAACCTCCACCGGAGTAAACAGATTGAGGCCTTAACAAACAAAACCTCCACTACCGGAGTAAATCCGGTACAGAATAGTGAGTTGGCTCCTCGACTAAAGTCACCAACTCCGTACCTTCAATCAAGGATGCTCTATCAACCTAGGCAGATATTCTCATTATAGGTTAAAGCAGAAACAACAGGAATTTGATCAGGATTCATGCCATTCAATCAATCAAACCTCAATTGAACATAATCAAATCATAGATTCAGTACTTGGGTTCATACAATCAAAGCCTAACATACAAATCTAGGGTTCTCCATACCCAGATGAATGGGAGAACTACTCCATGGAGAAAGAAGCAAAAGCAGAATCAGACACGGAATTCATAATGTGAAGGATGGATTCCTGCTCCTGGACGTTGATCGGCACTTCTCCAAGCTCAAACTGGCCTCCAATGGTGTTGAAGATCAAGCTAGGGCACTTGGGAACTCTTGCTCGTCACTTTCTCACTCTATAAATCGATCTCTCTCCCTAAAACTCGAATCCCCTTCTCTTTAGCTGAAAATATGCTTAAAAAGGGGATCAGTGGCCAAAGCACGGTCGAGGGCACGGCCGTGTAAAGCCTCAGCCCGCCCGTGCTTTGGCTAGGGTTAATTACACGGCCAGTGCAATGGGGGAAACACGGGCGTGTTTTGGAGAGGACACGGCCGTGCTTTGGTTGACACGGCCGTGCTTTCAGCCCGTGTTTTTAGCCAATATTTGCCAAACCGAATTTGCTCTCGGCAGTAAAAGCACGGCCACAGAACACGGCCGTGTTCTGTTTTAGGTCTGCCCGTGTTTTGGCTCCAGCTCGACGAAATGACTTCCGAATGCCCCGAAACTCGTGCTTAGCCTTTCCTTTGACGCCTGGGACCTGAAATATGACAAAATAGCACAACCCGGCGAAAAATAGGCCAAAATACACGACTATGCCTCTCAAACGGATAAGAATTAGGGGTGCAAATACGTGTAATTACATCTTTATCAAGTATAGTGGCTCAAGTAATAAATATCGAATCCACGGGTCTCTAGAGTTACTATTACTCAGCTTCAGTTTATTATTTAGCAAACCAGATTAAGATGAAAGAACTAAAACTACTCTAGCAAACTACAGTTAAAGTTAATCTAACTACAGGTTGGGAACTCACTTAGGTATGATTCCCCCTAGCCACTAGCCAGACTAACGATTGATGATTTCTAACTTGTTTCACTTTCATTCACAATGCGGAGAATCCTTGACTAGACCTTGAGTCTCGACTAAAGGAACAAGGCCCTCTTAAGTCAACTGCCTAGAGGGACGTATCCTTCTCTAGAACAACTTATCAAGGCGTTCTGAACTAGACTACCTCTATCGAAAGATGTTCTCAATCGATACAAAGCAGTGAATCAACCCTCGACTAAAGCAATCGATCCACTACTATCAATCTATGGTGCTCTATTGACCTAATCAGGTATTCCCTCTCATAGGATCAAAGCAGAATCAATAATCTCGACTAAAGCAGAATTGAATCATGAAAACATGCATAGATTGAATATGAAATCAAGATTATCAAGTCAGAGTACTCATAAAATCATCCAATCAAACAAACATAGCTAGGGTTCCTCAAAACCTAAGTGAAGGGAAGTTACTCCATAGAGAAGAGAGAGACTGCAGTAAGAATCTTCAGATGATCAGTCTTCAAGTCCGGGCTTGTTCCTCGAGCTTCCAAGGCAAAGAAATCCTCCAATTCCACTCCAAGAATGCCCTCAAATCGCCCTCTCTCTCTTTGGTTCGTCCCTTGGGTGTTTGGGATCCAAAACCCAGCTCTCTCTCTCCTTTGGCTCGAATTTGGGTTAAAAAACCCGATTCTTGGCAAAACACGGTCGAGGGCACGGCCGTGCTTTGGTTTTTCCCGCCCGTGCTTTGCCCCGTGTTAAAAAAATGCCCGCGCGCGTCAGCCAAAACACGGTCGTGCCTAAATATGGGCACGGCCGTGTTTTGATTTAGGCGCGCCCGTGTTTTTACTGCCGAACCGGTTCCCCTATATTCAATGCTTCGTTTCTCCCTCGTCCGGACTCCGAATCAGTCGCCGTTTGATCCCACACACTCGTAGTCTTGTCCTCTTTCTTTTCATGACAAGCTTGTATGATTCTTTGTCCATAAAGTGAGGTAGAAATTCATTCTTCTTCAGGTCATGCCCGAGTTTCTTCTCCCTAATCGCCAATTGATCTCTGATTGACTTGAAACTTGTGCCTATGATTCACTTTATGTGCTAGGACCTGAAATGTGACAAAGGAACACAACCTAGCCTAAAATAGGGCAAAGACGCGATAATTAAATCTCAAACGATCAAGAAACAAAGGGGAAAACATGTGCAAATATTGAGTCATCAAATCCCCCCACACTTAACCGTTTGCTTGTCCCCAAGCAAACCTAACTCAAACCAATGCAGCTCTCCAGACCTCTATAGCAACATACAACCCCGATCGTCGGTAGAGGATTTCCTAGATCATATAGCAGCTTACGAGGTCAACTGGTCTTCTAAGACGTTCCCTATCTCTCTCAATGCGAGTACTAGACTCAAGCCAGGATCATGAGAAGAAGTAGAAGTAAGACAGTCAGTTCATGGATAAAGGGACTCACACCATTCACAACCTAGGACTCGTTGTACCGGGGTTCTCTTTCACTTCATTTCACCGTTGGAACCCCTTTTTTGATTTCATTTTACTTTATTTTTTTTTCTTATTTCATTCACTTGGCGGGGGTTCCAACTGCAGTCTTTTGCACGGTCGACCCTTATTAGTCGAGCAAGAGCAATTTCTGTACACCTGGCGCTCACCAGAGTACTTCTTTTAACTCCTTTTCCTCAACTCGTGTGGAGGGTCAATGAAATTAAGGGGGGTCGGAAGCTCTATCCGTGCCCTTAAAAACACATCCTCAAGTAGGCAAACCGTTCAACGGGTGGATGTTTTACTTGTACTAGAGACAGCTTAGCTTCACCTTGTAGGAGTACCCCACTAAGGATCACTAAAATCTCTTCCAAAACCCGATTTTGTGCAATGAACGGTGCCGCACACGTTGGGCTTACCCCATGTTTAAGATTTCGATGATTTCGACATGGAGGACCAACTGCATTTCATTTTTCACATGAGCACCCTGTTCCATACACGAGTCCATAACACAATCCAAACATAATCACCATTACCACATGAATTCAACGGTCTTAGCTCCACTAATTCACAAAATCAACTGGCACAGCAGAGAGCTAGATAGGAAAAATCTTATACTTCAACATCCTCCATAGTGCTACACTACATCCCTAGGTTGCACATTACTATAGAGACTGTCAATTCAAAGCATACTGAACAGGAAATTTGCAAGGTTACACGTACCTGGAGCCCTCAAATTTAAAAATTTGGACAGTGGACTAGGCTCCAAGCACACAAACAGCCAAACATTTACCCGCATACATAATCGAACATCCCCCCACACTTAAGCACGACATTGTCCTCAATGGAGGAAAGATAAGGAGGGTAGAAGGAAGTTACCAGATCTAGGGTGAATGATGGTGGACGGGGCAGGCGGTGTGATCCAGGAGGAGAGAGTAGTCAGAACACAAACACCACATAAAATCTCACAAAGGTTGAGTTATTGACTCTAAAATCAAAGAACAAAACTGACTCAACCGAAGAGAAATAGGGAAAGAAATGCAAACCGACTGGTTGGGTTGCCTCCCAACAAGCGCTTCTTTCACGTCGTGAGCCGGACGATGGCTCCTAAGTTTCGGTCCACCCCAAAACCTCCTTGAAGTTGAGGTTCTCGTCAATGAGGTGGAGTATCAAGTCATGAGCATGCGGTATGACAGGTGATGGAAGCTCGTGCACTTGATGCAGATGAAGTCTCCACCCTCGAGACCTCTTCCTCTCTTCTCTCGTCTCATTGCCCCAAACCAGATATGACAACATCGACTGACCACCATCGCGTCCACCAAGAGGGACCGATGTCGATGTGGCCTTGGTCAGGCAAAGAGACACTGCAAATGGGTCCTTGCTAAGCAGTTCCTCGAAATTCGGTGGAGATATCACCTGCAACTCATGGCCGGTGCAACCCTCTTCCACCTCAACTTCGTCCTCAGCCTGGACGCCAATTGCTTCTTCAACCTCCCTTTCTTCTTCATGAGGTACCACCCCTGGGAAATGATCAAGAACTCCTTCTGCTTCACTTTCGGCATCCTCCACAACTTCTTTCTGCACCCTTTCTTGCTCTTCTTCTTCTAGCACGGATTGGAGAGCAAGCTGCCAAGCAATTTCTTTCATGAGATCTTCTTGAATCTCCTCACTCATGCCCGCCTCTTCAAAGCTCAGTTTGGGATGTGGGAAGGTGTGGTCGGCTATGACAGGACATTCCTGATCATGATCATCACGGGAGCTCTCCGTGACATCTTTAGTGTGCTCCACAATGTCCTTGTAGCCTTCTTCTTCCTCCTCCTCTTCTAGTATGGTAGCAGAAGGGTGATCTCGAGCAGGTTGTGCCCAAGATCGCTCAAGATCATCGACGCTCTTCTTAAGGCTCAGGAGGATCTCCTGTGTTTCACGATAGGCCTGGACACAATGATCCATCCTGGAGCATGTTCTCTCACAGTCTCGAGCAAACTGCTCCATGAGAAGCCTCAATTCATAGTTTGGATCTGGCTGTGGAGTGTAGCATGGCTCTGCAGAATGGCCCGTGAAGGCCGCCATGGGTAACTCCAGCGCCGATGGCCCTTCTGGTTGTGGGAGAAATTCTTCTTGGTAATGAGGTTGTTCTTGATATTCCCAAGGGTCCGGTTGTTCTCCGTAGTAAGGGGGTTGGTACTGGAACCCGAATCCATAGTCTTCTCCTCCTTGATTGCTCCAGGGAGTCTCGGGGTAATACCACTCGGGTGGTGGTGGATACCCCCAATTGTTGGAGAAGCCATGAGGATCCATGATTTAGATCTGCACCAACAAACACAAAAACACCCAAGTGAAAAGCAAGGGTGGAAAAGAAAAGAAAAGAAAAACGCTAAAGTAACAAACTTCTGCCTTTCCTAATACTCTAGAAAGTCCCCGGCAACGGCGCCAAAAACTTGACTCGCTATGACACAACTCCTAACAAAGGTCAAGTGTAACCAATGAAAGGGACTGGAGTATAGTGGCTCAAGTAATAAATATCGAATCCACGGGTGTCTAGAGTTACTATTACTCAGCTTCAGTTTATTATTTAGCAAACCAGATTAAGATGAAAGAACTAAAACTACTCTAACAAACTACAGTTAAAGTTAATCTAATTACAGGTTGGGAACTCACTTAGGTATGATTCCCCCTAGCCACTAGCCAGACTAACGATTGATGATTTCTAACTTGTTTCACTTTCATTCACAATGCGGAGAATCCTTGACTAAACCTTGAGTCTCGACTAAAGGAACAAGGCCCTCTTGAGTCAACTGCCTAGAGGGACGTATCCTTCTCTAGAACAACTGATCAAGGCATTCTAAACTAGACTCCTCTATCGAAAGAGGTTCTCAATCGATACAAAGCAGTGAATCAACCCTCGACTAAAGCAATCGATCCACTACTATCAATCTATGGTGCTCTATTGACCTAATCAGGTATTCCCTCTCATAGGATCAAAGCAGAATCAATAATCTCGACTAAAGCAGAATTGAATCATGAAAACATGCATAGATTGAATATGAACTCAAGATTATCAAGTCAGAGTACTCATAAAATCATCCAATCAAACAAACATAGCTAGGGTTCCTCAAAACCTAAGTGAAGGGAAGTTACTCCATAGAGAAGAGAGAGACTGCAGTAAGAATCTTCAGATGATCAGTCTTCAAGTCCGGGCTTGTTCCTCGAGCTTCCAAGGCAAAGAAATCCTCCAATTCCACTCCAAGAATGCCCTCAAATCGCCCTCTCTCTCTTTGGTTCGTCCCTTGGGTGTTTGGGATCCAAAAACCAGCTCTCTCTCTCCTTTGGCTCGAATTTGGGTTAAAAAACCCGATTCTGGGCAAAACACGGTCGAGGGCACGGCCGTGCTTTGGTTTTGCCTGCCCGTGCTTTGCCCCGTGTTAAAAACACGCCCCCGCGCGTCAGCCAAAACACGGTCGTGCCTAAAAATGGGCACGGCCGTGTTTTGATTTAGGCGCGCCCGTGTTTTTACTGCCGAACCGGTTCCCCTATATTCAATGCTTCGTTTCTCCCTCGTCCGGACTCCGATTCAGTCGTCGTTTGATCCCACACACTCTTAGTCTTGTCCTCTTTCTTTTCATGACAAGCTTGTATGATTATTTGTCCATAAAGTGAGGTAGTAATCCATTCTTCTTCAGGTCATGCCCGAGTTTCTTCTCCCTGATCGCCAATTGATCTCTGATTGACTTGAAACTTGTGCCTATGCTTCACTTTATGTGCTAGGACCTTAAATGTGACAAAGGAACACAACCTAGCGTAAAATAGGGCAAAGACGCGATAATTAAATCTCAAACAATCAAGAAACAAAGGGGAAAACATGTGCAAATATCGAGTCATCATACACCGGTTTCTACTCCCATGGAGACTAATCTGAAGCTGGGACGTGAATCTGGTGAATTATTACCTAACGGGGGGAGGCAGTATTGCAGTATTGTGGGATCCTTGATATACTTGACTTTTACTCGTCCGGATATTGCGTATGCAGTACAGATTGTCAGCCAGTTTATATCATCCCAACGGACTGCTCACCTTGATGCATTACACAGACTGCTTCGTTATCTGCAGGGGACAAAGGAGATTGGCCTGTTCTTGCCATCGACCGGTAGCTTTCAACTCGAGGCTTTCTCCGATGCCGATTATGCTGGGTATGTAGATACTCGACGTTCTACTACAGCCTGGCGTATTCTTCTCGGTGATTCATTTATCTCCTGGCGGTGTAAGAAGCAGGATAGAGTCTCCAAGTCTTCTACAGAGGATGAGTATCGAGCTATGTCGAATGTCACATCAGAGCTAGAATGGTTACAACTACTACTTGGTGAATTGGGTGTCGACTGTTCGCTTCCTACGAAGATTTATGTTGATAACACTAGTGCGATTCAGATCGCTACTAATCCGGTGCTCCATGATCGGACAAGCATATCGAGGTTCATCTGCACTATATTCGGGACTTGGTTAGTGATGGGACAGTTCGACTCTCCTATGTCACGTCAGAAGATCAGATTGCAGATTTGTTGACTAAAGCGTTTACAGTCGGTCGTCATTCTTATCTTGCTGGCAAATTGATGATGAGAAATCTTCATTAATTTGGGGGGAGGCTGTTGAGTTATGGGTTTTAGCCCATGCACGTATGACCAGGCCCATACGTAGCATAGGGGTTCTCGGCCTAGTAGGGTTAGGGCAGCCGAGTATATATTGATGTATATGCATGTAATTGTTGAGCATAATAATACGAGACTCCTCTTCCCGCCGTGGACTAGTCTTGCTCACACCGAGCAAGGAAACCACGTTAAATTCTGTGTCGTGTTCCGTTTCGATCTTGTTCTTCGTTTCGTTTCTCCGTTCCAATTAACAGGTGACTCCAAAGTGGTCGTCAACCAGATCTAGCAAGGTGTACTAGAAGATTCTATTGGAGGGCCAGTGCTCTGGGAGTGTCGTCGGATCTTAGACTCTTTGTCAGCTTGTATAGAGTTTAGGGCGGTTCTTAGGGCCGCCAAAAATGCTGCCCATAAAGTGGCGCGTAAAGCACTGCTTTTGTTTTTCCTAGAGTTAAGAGCCTTTGTGGGGTGGTTGCATTTGAGGTTCGTTTGTTATGGGTTCCTGGGTAGTTTGATTTGTTTAATTCTTGTCTTCTCTTGATATCACTCGAAAATAATAATAAAATACCAAGACATGTACTATACTCTCTTGGTTGCCCTCGAATACACCTATACATCACAACTCTAAAACACCACACACACACACACAATCCACTTGTATGCATATAGGGATGGCAATAAAACCCATGGCCGCGGGTATCCGACCGCCCCCGACCCAGTCAACGCGGGGAATCCCCGCTTTGACCGGGTATGGGGCGGGTATGGGTAAAACCCGCAAAAAGTTTGATGGGTATGGGGCGGGTATGGTTTTGACCTCCCCCACCCCATACCCATACCCATACCCGCCCCACCAAGAGAATTTCTTCACATATAAAAAATATGTGCATTAAATTGTAATCTATCAATGGTGATGAGGATAACTCAAGGAAATAAATAGTAGAAATGCAATTGAGTGACCATTTTAATCAAAATCTAATTCATTTCCCTCAATTCTCCTTTCACTCTTTCACTTTTCCCCTTGTCTACAAGATTATGTTAGTTAATTATTACTTAGTAGATGTATAAGAGTTAGAAGATAATAATTTGAAAAATATTATACTCTATATTATGTATTAATGGATGTTTTAGGATCATATACTTTGAACCGTATTAAGAAAATGATCGTGTTTTGTTGACTTCATGATATAATAGGTTCGTTTAGAGTAATAATTAAAACTTTTCTTGTAAATTTTAGGTATAATAATGTTGGATGTATGGGTACGGGTATTACCCATGGGTACCCGAAACCCACGGGTATGGGGATGGGTTTGCAAAACAATCCCCCGCATGGGTATGGGGCGGGTATGGGTTTGGGTATTTGAAGATGGGGATGGGGATGGTTTAGACAAATCCGCCCCATTGCCATCCCTATATGCATACAAACACGCGCAAAATATTCGTTAAACCAAACTTGTAATGTCACTCTCAGAGACCACCTATACAACACTGTAAAGTTCTAGATCAGTACTATAGGACATTGACAAGCAAAATACTGTGTCTCAGCCATTACCCTGGACCATGCTTCACTTACTGGTCCCATGCCACCGTCTTTACCATTCGATATCTCAACTGAAAGAACAACAGAAATAGAGTCACCAGAATTAAACGACCAGGGTTCAACAAGAATCAAACAAGACATCTGGTCAGAATTTATAAAAGCCAAACCAGAAGAAACCAACCATAAGGCAGCAGAAGAGAAATGATACAGTCGTGCCTAGTTTCAGACCGCTTGGCGATGCTTCTCGTTTTTTGTACTCGCTATGCTCTCTGTCAATTCGCGGCCCTTGGTATCATAAGGAATCAACAGGACTGAAAACAGCCCAACAAGAATCACACCTACGAACAACAGTAGCGCCTCGCGTTGATGACATGATTCCATCAGCTTCACAGCCGCAAATGGACATACCATCCCACCAATTCTGCCCATGCAGTTTGCAATTCCGTAACCGGTTGATCTGACTGATGTTGGGTACAGCTTCATCAACAAAAAATGCAATACAAGAAAAAGATTACTACCCTCCTTAACGCCAAATCAGGAGGATTAACATAATTTTAAAGTGGAGCAAGTGTTGATTTCTATGCTCAGTCCATGATTAAGTACCACCGGAGACCACTGAATTCAAACCTGAGATTTTCAGATGTGTCCAGCTAGTTCATGTTTATTAAATGCAATTATGGAGGGGAAACAACAAAACGTTCAATTGCTATTCTAGACAATTGGATGAAATGCCAGCAAACTGAGACAGGCATGATAAGTAAATTAATCTAGCAGTCTAGATGCCCTTCTAGGCTGAAGAGCCTATAGCCTAGTGCAAGAACGCGATATAGTGTCTGAGTTAACACCTATATCCCCAACAATGATTATCTACCGCAAGAACTGTCCTCAGTTGACTTCCACAGCTTCAAAGAGCACATGCCAAGTTCTGATATAGGATCCGACCCACAAAAGACTGGGCTCTCCAACTAGTAATGGCCAGCGCCAGAATGCAATAGTCATACGAAGAGATTAACAAAGGGCATTTCAATAATCCTGACAGATGGCTGCTAAAGTAGAGCAATTGGCGGAACGTCAGATTCATATTCATGTTTGAACTATGGTATGTTTGGGGAAAATCACGAGTGTTCTCTGGTTTTTTGGTCGGTAAAAGTAAATGCCATAATAAGCAATTTTCAGAGAAAACATTTACCTCTGGAGCCATTAGAGAGGCAACTGAAAAAGTTCCCGTGATGCAGATTCTTGCCCCAAATAAAAGAATGGTGGTCACAAGTGGAGATCGATGGACGACCAGTGGCAGAACAAACACGACACAAATGAAGAACAGAGTCGCCATAGAAATTTTGCGGCCAATCCTATCAACGAGGAGAGCTGATATTAAGAGGCCCGGACATTCTGACAATGATAAACAGTAGCATACTCAGCAATGTTTTCTTGGATAGATAGATAGATAGATAGATAGATAGATGCAAAGCAATAGAGAAGAGATGCAGTTATTAAAATGCAAACCTGCTAAAGTAGTAATGAAAACATTTTTATAATCAACGCCAGCATCCGACTTGTTGTTGGATTGTGTTCCGTTCGAATTGCAATGAGATTTACGGTTTAACTCAGTAGTGAGCAAAACGAGGCCATAGTAAGAAAATGCATTCCCAAAGAATATGAACCACAAGAGTATGGTTGAGCGAATCAATCTTGGAGAAAGCAACATCCGTAGAGTCTCAATGACACCCAAGTCAGAATCTTTCCATCTAGGGGCAGAAGAAAGCGAATCAGTGGCAGATGCCTCTGGCTTCGAGACTTGTCTTTGTAGCTCAATTTCACGATCGCTAAGAAGGACACCAGGAGGCAGTTCCTTCTTATTCAATTTTGCTATTTTTTCCATAACCCTAAGAGCATCATCTTTTCTACCTTTAAGGCAGAGGTACCTTGGGGACTCGGGTGTCAGAGGGTAAAATACAAGGAGACCAAATGAAGGGAGAGCAGAAAGACCAACCAGCCACCTCCAACCCAATCTTGGCATAATGATCTGAATATTACCATATAGGGCATTAGTGACCACTAAAGTGACTACTTAGGAAATAAAATTTGCACTGATTAAACTAAAATTAAGGAGTCATGAGATTTCATGAACTTACCCATGCCAAGCCAACCTCAAAAATAGTTCCAACCGTCCAAAATGAATAGAAAATAATCATCCACATGCCTCTGTTTGTTGCAGGTATAAACTCCAAGAACCAGGCGAAGAGTACAGGCCCTCCTCCAAGGCCAACACCGACCAAACAACGAGCAATGAGCAAAACAACATAGTTCCAGGCAAAGGCACTAAGAAAACCAGCTAGAGACGTAACGAATGCTGTGACCACAAACCCATTCCTGAACAGACATTAGAAAAGCAGTAAAGAACAAAATCAAAATCCAGTAAGGCGCCGGCATGAAATAGGAAAGAAGCACCAAAGTCACATCAGTAATACGTGAACATCATGCATATATAAAATAATTAATAAGACACTAAAAGGGACAATGATGCAATTACCACTTCCAATTGGCACTAACTAGGAACTACAAGCCTTTATTTACTTAATAAAGTAACTCCTGCCAGAGGAAAGAATCATGAAGCACGCACTTACCTCCTTCCCAATCTGTCCGAGATCACACCCCACATGTATGCACCAAGTAACATGCCGGAAAATACCACTACAGACAGTAAGGTCTCTTGATTGGCACTTAGATCCCACTGAGCCTTCACCGATGGACCAATAAACGAGAGAATCATCACCTCCATTGCTTCTGAAATCCAACCCATACCAGCATAAAGGCAGACAAAGATTTGGAACTTTCCAAACCCCACGGAGAGGAGAGCTTCGTCCACGTTGTAACCTCCATAATGATCCACCATCTACAAAGAGGAGGATCACATAGAGAAGTTCAGGGCATAGGGAATATTTCAATTGAACTGCATAATTCTCTATGTGAGAAACAAACAACAAAGCAGAGCCCACAATCGAATCCTAGCACAAGAATAAGTATTATATAACAATACACCCCATGCCCATTAGACTGAGATAGGCAAAGCATATCAGAAGTCAGAAACCACGAGCAAGTCTAATGAGCCGATGAGCATACATGCACTATTTCTTAGCAGAATCATGCCAGAAAATCACGCTGCCCATTAGAGGATACCTGGAAACTGAATGGTAAGTAAGGAAAAGGTTGAGGAATGATCATGTTTTGAATTTTAGGAATAAAGCACTCTAAAGTTCTAATGGCTTAAAGCGGATGAAACCAAATTTTAACTAACTGAGCTGTTGGTGGGTAATAGATGACTTCAAAAACTGTACTTCCTATGAACAAATTAACATGCAACGGGGACACACATTCTTCAGAGACCAGGAAGCATACAAATTCAGTAAACGACATAAATTCCCAAATAAGATCAAAGGCGCAATTAATTGTCTTTGCCAATCAAAAGCAACAATTTTTAGCAAACCTCGGCAGAGTAGAGGAGAAATGCAGATGTCTCCCCTTCTTCTTCTTCTTGGTCTACCTCTGCTTAGTGAATTAAGTCTGCGCTCCTTCTCTGGCTTAGCAGAAAACCAGGAAATTGTTCGAGTGAGAAAACCAGTGAAGCTGGGGGATATGATATAAGAATCGGCAGCAAAAGGGGAGGGCAGTTTATGGTGGAAGTAGGTGAGAAAAGAAAGAAAGCTTCACTTTGCCATGAACGGGCCCCACTGAAATAGATGGATAAGTTGAACTCGCCGCTGGCAACAACCATCGGAACTTCAGTGTTCGGTTTCGGCATAATTTCAAAAAGCCACGACAACTACAGGAAAGGGAAATTTTATTCGGACGAGCGTCGACAGCAACAGCTAGCAACTCCCTGTCGCCATTAAAATCACAATCCTTCGAAACAGCAAAGCTTTGTGATTCTTCGGGCCAATCGATCAGCGGCCGGCCGGCAGATGACGCCGCCCGCATCAGAATGTTCCTTACTTTGGCTTCTTCTACTCTGTCCTCCTCCCATCCCTGCGCTGCGATGCGGCAATTGTGGTTCGGTAATGTGTGAAGAACTGGACTGACGCAACGGATCATCGCCGACCAATTTCGCGGGTGCAGGTATCATCGTCTCTGGTTTTTGGGTGTATTGGCCCACCCACAAGTCCAGTTGGCGTATTTTAAGCCCAATCAGCCCGTGATCCACAACATCGTGGACTGTGGTATTGGACTTGATCTGATTGGACAGTGAACTCCTCTAAACGACAACCTTAAGGATCAGTTTGAAAGAAACGACGTCGTAAGCAATCCAACTTGAATTTGCCTTCAGCACCAAAATATCCACCGCCGGCCTGGCCTGGCCTGGCTGGCCTCTCTTTCCCGACGATCCTCCCCAGTCTACTCCAGAGCCCTGTAATTTGTCAGAAACGATTTCATTCTGATCGGGTACTGGAGGCTTTGCACCAATCGCCGGCGAGAGATCAAACTGAATCCCAAAATTGATCGGTGGGGAAGATAAAAATGGGCGATCCGGACAAGGAATGGGATTTTTATCTTCGGACCTTATCCAGCAGTGCTAGAGACTCCAATTTGGCCAGCGACCCCGCTTCCGATCCGTCCCTCCTTAATTCTGTAAGAATCTTCTTGTTCCTTGTTGCTATTCCGTTTTGTCTTCGTATTGGTGAGTTAGATAGAGAGAATAGGACATTTCTGATTCTTGCCTGCCTCCTGTAGGTGAGGAAGCTGTGCCAGTTGTGTAAAGCAGAGAATTCGGAGGATTTGGTGGCTAGGGTTTATCCGCACTTTAACAAACTCTTTCAGCGCTCTGTGGCTTCGCTCCCTCAATCTAAGTCCTCTTATGGACTTCTCTTGCTGGTCAGTTTATGACTGATTTTTGTGTATTTTCCTTCTGGTAAATTTTCTTCGTTCTTAGTTTCATTCTCATGAAGTAATAATTTAGTAGGATTTAGGAACTGGAATTGGCACACCCCTGATGCATAGGCTGTTGTTACATTTTTTTCTTCTTTCATTCAGGATATTATTCAGTTTTTCCTCGACTTTGGAGAGATTGTTCTACATGATGCTGATCCCAGTCTAAGGTCATTTTTTCGCTCGTGCTTGAGTCGGTAAGGTTGCTCCTATAATTTTTCTTACGTTGCTTTCCACTTACAGGTCCTTGGCAACAACTTATTAACTGAAACAATAAAAAGCATTCATTGAAAGACTTAGTTAACTAGCGTGTGTATCGAGACTTGATTAGTTTGAACCGTAACAAAGAGAGCATGAAAAATTGTTTTAAATGAATTGCGTAGGGCAGTGCCTCTGAGTTGCATTGGCTGAATCTTGATTCTCCTCCTGATGGTCGTTTTCGTCTTTGTTAGATCCACGAATGCCTCGTTTTCCTTTTTGTCACTGATCAAGATTAGTGGAGTTCAGACTCTTACGCACTTTTAGTCTCCAGAATGATAACTATGTTAAGTTTCATCAGTTTGGTTTCCACCACGAAGAGGCCATTATCCTAATGTTGATTGCAGTGAATTTGCAGATCTATCTGTGGCAGAGGCAACCCTTCATTTTCTGAATGTCAACAAGAAAAGGCTTCTGGCTTCTTTTCCTGCCTTACTACCTCAAGTATGAATGATACTCTACAAAACACTGTGTTCAATATATTCCATTAATTCCATGACGGCTTTATTTTTTACATGAAGGCACAGTAGGAATTTGAGAGGAAAAGTATATGAAAAGAAGAAACCAATTGTAAATTGGTTTTTAACTTCTGCTGAAAAAGGAAATTCCTATTCCTCTCTTCTTGAGTTGCTGGCAAGTGGCAGCTGTCTAGATACTCACTATGTAGTGGTGTTTGTGCTTTGGGGCAGGCCAACATTTCTTGTTCCATATATAACTTACAGTGTTGTCATGACTAGCATCTTTCATTAAGCAAATCCTGAAATGTGGAAAAACGTCAAAGGAGAAGTGAAAGTTTCAGAAAAAAGATATAAACTACATACAGCTGTGATTGTACTATTAGAGATAACCTAGAGCTGATTTCTGATTGTGGAATATGCTGCGAAAGGATAATTTGTCCATATTATATTGTGCCTTATCCTGCTATTCACGGATTCTTTGTGTCCAAAATAGTTAATGTTGAATGTGATGTTCTGCATTTGGATGCAGTTTTTTCCTCTGTTACTTAAGCTGATAGCCTGGAATGGAGAAAAGTAAGATCTATATCCTTTTTGCTGCGTTTTTTTCTTATGCCCATAACCTTCTCTTAATCTGCTGTCACTTGTCATACGATATGATAATGTTCAGTATTGCGTGTTATAGTCAAAGCAAATCATTTTCTCGACTTGATGGTAAAATTAGATCCTTTGTTGATATATGTGCTTTCTGATGTCGCCATTCGCTTTATAGTTGACACTTGACCCTGTTTGGTAGTCCTTTTAAATGTTTGGGGGAGGGTTGGGGGCTCTGTCATGTAGAGATAGAGTCTGCTGTTTTGTACATATGATTTGACTTGGGGGTTGAGTTAATTAGAGTGGCTGGCTAACTTCTTAGCTCTCTTTTCCAGGTTACTGAATTCATTCTTAAAGGTCTTTCCTGAACTGATATCGCCTGCTTCATTTCTTCCTCTATTTCCGTCCTTAGTGGATCTGCCAAGTAAGTTCTTTGTCCAGCTGTTGGCACTTAACTAATTTTCTCCACAACGACAGATTCAATTGCTGTTTAATTTGCTCTATTGGGATTTGAACTATTCTGTGGAAGGTTTTATGGTTTATCCGGTTGAATAAAGGTTTTCAGTTCCAGATTGTATATGTCGAATTATCCATTGTGACATGTAATAGGTGGAAAAAAATCTCACTCTTAAGTAATGTGATTATCACTAGAAGGGACATTGTCAAACTGTCCTCTGACATAGCTCTTCCTTTGGTATGAAAAGTAGTTCTAGATTTCCGGTGTGCTCTAAAAGGTGATGTGTCTTTTATTCATTTCCTCTTCCCCTTGACATAACGATAATCACGTATGCTTTTCCTCTGTATCAGTGTTGGTAGTGGCATTGGAAAGGGTGGAGCGAAGTTCGGGTTCCCTTATTGGGAGTAGTATTGCCTCAATCCAGAACACGACGGCTCCTGAGGTTATTTTTTGGACACGCCCTATTTTCTTGCTTTGCCAAGACATTTTTGTACTACTATCAGCTCAATTTTGTCTTGTTGCAGATGTTACTGGCTCTGATGGATGAAGCTTATACTGGTTCCACTATAGGAGATGGTGGGGCTGGCAGTGAATCAGAGGACATCAATGCGATTGATTCTGCTGATCCTTTGTTTCTAGAACTTCTGAAGGATGAGAATGACGGATTAGCTGTATGATCCCTTTTTATTCTCAAGTCTTTTAAAAATGTCTAGAATGTGTAAGCACAGAGCAGGGAAATATTTGTTCCATTTGAGAACTGCTGGAGCATTCTCCTTTATTCCTTAGTCAATCCTGCAATCACGTGCTTTTTATCTCTTTTCACATGTTCATTCCTCCAATAGCATCGATTTATCTGCTATAATCAGTAGGCTATATAACTGCCTCTTCATATCTTTTGAAAATGCTTGGTTATTTTCCTTGCACTTTTGATTTTTACCATCTATTTTTCAATTGAAGAAATTTTGAACCGGATAGTTGAGAAGTTGAATTTTATGCCTCCGGGACCTGTATGGAAAAATATTTAACTGAAACTGTCAAGTTTCTTCATGCTGTTCAACAAACTTAATTTTATATTGCAGGAGCGTCATAGAACATCTCCCAGTATGGCTGCAGCATTGCAGGCTGCAGTTAATGTTCCTCAAACGGATAGGCTGAAGCAATCGCTCAAAATAGGGCCTGCCCTTCTTGACATGTACTGTGCTTTAGCAATACGCAATGTCAATGATTGTATGTATGCTTAACACCATTTTCAATTTTTACTTTGAGCTTCTCTTTTTTTTTTCTTTTTTTTTTTTTTTTTTTTTTTTTTGTGGAGAAATTTTCATGCGATGTAGAAAGTATCACTTCTAAAGTTTCATGTATTTTTTCACCACCATTACAGCTCTGATCTGTGCCCTTATCCCATTGATTATGGCAAGAAATGATGTACTATTTCCTGACAAAAATTACTCCTACCAGGTAAAGTTGTGCTTACGGACTCCTTAGTTGTTATTTCATTGGTCTGTGGTTGCTTATTCTACCTTCTGAATGATTTGGCAGTAATACAGATCATGCCTTCTAATTTTGTAAAGTTTAAGTGGCTGGTTCTTCAGTTTTCGTCGATGTTTTTATCTCTTCATGCTCTGTCATGTAGTTATCAGGCAATGTTTGCATAGTGTGTTTCAAATACATCGACAAGGACTTATAATTGTCTATATTTCCATTTCTGACAGGTTCACAAAAGGCTTTTGGAGTTTATGCTTGCATCATTTCAGCGTTCTCCAAATGTTATAGCTCTTCTGAAGGTATGTTGCTTTGCTTCTTCAAACACCTTTGGTATCTGAATGCATGCCGATGTAAGAGTAATTTAGTGGAACATAGCTTTTGGTTTTAGCTAGCATTTTTGGTTGAAGTATGGATCGTGTTGGGGTTGGTGCAACAAATTGTGGTGAAACACAATGACTCATGTGGGATGTTTATCCCTAATTGGAAGTTCATACATTTGGTATCCCTGAGAAAGATGCTTTGTAATGGCTTCAGCTGTGTTCCTCCTGATTCAACTTATTGCAGAAACCTATTATGGACAGGCTTGGAGAAGCATATGACAGTTCTGCAAAGGTGAGAATGTAACAATCACCATGAAGTCATTGGATAATATTTCCTATCACACAGTTGAAGTTTCCAACCTTTTCTGTGTCTTCTGCCCTTCACTTTTCACCTTTAGCAATTTTGTTTTCTCTTACAGACAGAACTAGCATTACAGTTGTGTTGGGCGATCGGTGAACATGGCGGCGGCGGTGCATCTCACAAAGATGCTGCACGCGAGCTTTTTGAGAATCTGGAGCTACTTCTCTATGAAAACCTATCATCTAGGTGCGGTTTTCACTCTTGTGTGCTTCCCGTTGAAGATTCTATGTAATCTCTTGCATTTTTCTGGGCATTGCTGACTCGCTGAGTTCCTGCACTTGAAAGCCGGCTTGGCCTAAGGGAATCCGCACTTGGATCTGACAGCGAAAACTTGAGAAAGTCATCACAATCCAGGCTTCTGTGTTTCGTTGTAACAGCTATCGCAAAGCTGGCCACACATCACCATGAATTGTTACCAAGAGCTCGTGTGTCCTTAGGCAAGGCATGTTCCAGCTGAAATTGAATTCTCCTGAAAGAAGCATTTGATTAATTTCCAGCCTGCTTGTCATTTGACAGCTACTTATCAAACTATATATGGTGAGCTGAAGCAACATTCGGTTGCAGGTAGCTAGATCTCGCATCTCAGATGTGAGGGTTTGGAGGCGTGCTCGAGATTACCTAGGTTTGATCGATGATCCTGCAATATCCTTGTCCGTCTTGGGGCCTTCACAAGGGCACATGCAAAAGCCAGGAACTGTGAACTGGAGGGATGGTGGCACCAAAATGATCGCACATATCCCCTTCTACCTCCTCGGCGAACAGGAAGGTACACATTCCTAACCGTCACCCTCTGGATTCGTCAACTGGAGTCGATTGATCACTATATCTTGCTTGCTTCTCGTTTAGTCTTGGTAATATAAATTACAGACTATCAAGTTGCACGACAGTTTTTGCTATTAACCATTTACCATGGATAAATTTACCTGCAGGTTCCCCCTTCCACGACTTCTCATTCTCTGATATATTCCCGAGAACATGATGACTCTGCTGCCTCGCGCTTCTTGAAGATGGAGAAGCCTCTGGATAGCGTCTCTGTGATTTCAAACTTAGTCTCGGATTGCGAGTTGATATTGATCTGGGTTTTCCCATGTAGCGAAAGTTCTCCTTTTCTGTGTGCATATACATGGAACCCCTAACTGCAGGCGACCTTTTTGGTTGAAAGATTTTTTTAAAATTTTGGTTTCATAGAGAGTTCGTGAGCAGGTAAATCGTTGAATGTTGCTCTGCCATTACACCATACCTAGAAAGAACATATACGTCCATCGTGTCGAAGAATCGTATTACTTAATCAGTGGATTCAAATCCGAACACTCTTGTCTAATACATGAATCCTTGATTGTGAAATAGTGCCTTAGTCAATTTCTCTGTTTTATCAAAATGACTCTACACACAATTGTAGACACTGGACTGTTAATTATGGTTGATCGGTTAGTTCAATTGGCCGGTTCGACCAGATTTAACATTCGCGGTTCTATGCCTATTTCTAACCACAAAAAAAAAAAAACACACAGTGTACGGCAAGTCGTTTTGAGACCTGACAGATCCGTAAACGTCTTCTAATCTTCTACTTCTACCTAACCAGGGAAGGGAAGGGAAGGAGAAGGAGAGATAAGTTCGACGAACCGAAAATGGCTATTGTTCGAGCTCTCAGAGTGCCCCTCAGACTCAGACCGCGCTTCTCATCTCTCTCCTCCATCGCCCGATCCGTAAGATCTCTGTCTCTCTCTGAACGAAGTAACTGATCAGAGAAGTTGTTAATTCGTCTTAACAATGCTAAGTTCCGCGGAAATGGCTTCTGAATTTACTTCCTCTAGTCTCTCTACCTCCCTCTCGTCAATTAAATCGGTCCTTTTCTAAACCAACAGATTAGCACGTTAGTGATCGGGGAGCACGAAGGAGGCGCTGTGAAAGCGCCAACTCTGAGTGCAGTAGAAGCTGCAAAGTACTTGGGTGAGGGCAACTCCGTATCCGTTCTTTTGGCGGGGACTGGTTCTTCGCTTCAAGACGCCGCCGAACATGCTGCCTCATGCCACCCCTCCATTTCGCAGGCACTCTTTCTTCAACTATTCTCACGGTTTGCCCATTTCGCGAGCTTCCCTTTCCTGTGAGGGTTTATGATGTGTTGATGTTCTGTGGCAGGTGATTGTAGCTGATTCAGATCATTTTGTTCATCATCTAGCAGAGCCTTGGGCTAGATTGGTTCAGTTAGTCCAGCAGAAAGAAGGTTACTCCCACATTGTTACTGTATCGAACTCGTTTGGGAAAAATGTGCTTCCCCGAGCTGCTGCCCTTTTGGATGTGTCTCCAATTACGGATGTTGTTAGCATTTCTGGACCGAATCAGTTTGTCAGGTTGGTTTCAGCTTGTGTGTTTTGTGTTGGAAGTTGTTCAGGTTTAATGCTTTCTTTGATCTGAAGATCTTAGAACCTTTGATTGATTGCCATTGACTGCCACACTGTGTGAAATGTTGGTTGCTTTATCTGGTTTTGTATTTTAAATGTCAGGCCGATTTATGCTGGGAATGCCCTCTCTACTGTCCGGTATACTGGGAACAGCCCTTGTTTGTTGTCTGTTAGATCGACATCTTTTCCTGAACCTACAGTTGCAGCAGACTTCAGGGCCGAAAAGGCTCCTATTTCGCAGGTTGATCTCTTGGCCTTTGATGAAGGTTTGTTTGCCTTCTCTTATTCCGGTACTAGAAATTATTCTTGAAGTCCATGCGGTCACCTTTGTGCTTCTGATAGCTTGTACAGTCTATGGATTAATTGCTCATTGTCGATGTCATGACAGTTTCGTTTCATGGCTATATGACATATGTGTGACACATTCATATTGCATTACAGATTCTATAAGGAAGTCTAGATATGTGAAGCTCACATCACAGGAGACGGAACGCCCTGATCTAGGAAATGCTAAAGTTGTGGTCACGGGAGGTAGAGCTCTGAAAAGTGCAGAGAACTTCAAAATGATCGAGAAGCTTGCAGAAAAACTTGGTGCAGCAGGTAACAGTTTGAAGTGGTGGTGGCTTGTTTCTTTTGCATCCAACATTGGGAAACTTCCTTTTCTTTTTCTTGGACCAACAGGTTTATCTTCATCCGTATTTGGTTCCCCGTCCATAGGATTTTTTGAACATGTTTTCTGTTTGTGTTTAGTTGGAGCCACTCGAGCTGCTGTCGATGCAGGATTTGTTCCAAATGACCTCCAGGTACTGCTTCTGATTCCTGCTTTATGTCAGGATATCGTCTCAATTAGTTAGATCACAATTCCTGCACTAGATAGTGTAAGCAGTAGTTTTTTAAACAAAAATAGAAAAAAGAAAGATAAGTGTATGCAGTTAGCTTTTAGTAGCCAGAATCTCGTATTCCTTGAATAAATTCAGTTAGGAAAGCTGCTCTTAGAATCCATGTCAAAGTAATGGCACTTGACGGGACTTCTATCGGTTTCACTGGGCCATTTTAAGTGGCGATTGTTCTTCTTTCCAGGTTGGCCAGACTGGAAAGATTGTTGCCCCGGAGCTATACCTGGCTTTTGGAGTATCAGGTGCCATTCAACATGTAGCTGGGATGAGAGATTCCAAGGTGATAGTAGCCGTTAACAAAGATTCAGATGCACCAATTTTCAAGGTGAGAAATACACTCGGAACAACAACCTAAATGCAGTTACCTAGTCCATTTTCTTTTATGAACGAGGAAGCGAAAGTTTTCCAATCGTTCCAACGTCATAACTATGCTAGAACAGGAAACTCTTTGGAACTCTTATGGTTGATTATCATTCTTGACGGCTTTGTGTGCCAGGTAGCTGATTATGGGCTTGTTGGGGACCTCTTTGAGGTGATTCCGGAGTTGTTGGAGAAGCTCCCAGAAAAGTAGGCAACAGCTGCTGCAGGTTCGCAAGCAACTGGAACAATTGGTACCCGCAAATCCATCATCTGTTAATTGTCAATACAGCACCAACCCTTTAATAATGGAAGAAGCATTGTGGACAAATAGTGAACACTCTATTTGACAATGGATTCGTGGTAAGTTGTGGCATGGGTTTTAAGTCGCTTATTCTTAGTGTGGTTTCCATTGGGCATTAGAAAGTAGAAACCATCCCCAATTGGTTTCAAGACGCGAGGTAAAGCAAAGAAAGAGAGACTGATTTATACGGTGGAGACTCAGAGGTGAGGGAATATTTTAGATGTTTTAGTTTAGCCAATTAGATTCTACAAGTTGCACTAGAATATTACCAATTTCAAATTCTATCAGAGCGAAAGTTATTCTTATTATGTTTTGTTGGTGCGATCTAGCCTGACCTTCCATAAGAAAAAAGAAAATTGTGCCATGTCATCGTGAAACCTAACTTTGATCAAAAGCAGTGATGACGAAACCTCCAATTAGACGGTTAGAGAAAAATTAAGAACATCGAAAAAAGGGATGGGATAGCGTCACTTCCCTATGGGGTTGTGAGTTTCGCTTCCCCCCTTCCCATCCGTCCATTCTCCTTCTACATCCGATGGTGGAGAATACAATAAGAGTCTTTGTGTAACTTGTTTAATATAATTAATTTAAAAATAAAAAATAAAGACATGGGGAGAATATTGCATTGCGTGATTTTTGGGATGAATTTTAGCTTAACCATAACCGACAATTCTCTTCCCCTTCCATTTGTTGATTTTTCCCCATCCATAACCGGCCACTTCACTTTGCCGACAATAACTCACCGCCGCCGCCGGTATACAATGGCCGCCGACAATAACTCGGCGACATAGATGTGGTGGGATCTGAACAACCGGGGTTTTATGGGTTCGGCCTGAACCTTTCATACACAAGCAATGACGACACAGTATATGAAGAGGCGGAGAATGGTGGTGATGTTTTCATGGTGGATGATGCAGTAGTTTTCAACGTGGAGGGCATGCTCAACGAAGAGATCCTGAAGAAATACGAAAAGACGGACAACGACAACGCAGAGAACAACAACGATTGCGAGGCGCAGGCAGGCCAGCCCATTGAGGACAATGACAACGACAGGAAGACTGTCGGCGGCGGCAACATTTGTCGATAGGGTAACTAGTGGGGTTATGAATTCCATTGCACTGGTACTTTTATTTTAATGGTACAACTAATGCCAATACAAATTGGTACTAGTTTTTAGCTAGTGGTAGTTCGTTACTATTGGTAGTATACCAGTGGTAGTCATGTAGTGGTAGTGGCACAATGGTAGTATTGTAGTGGTAGTTTGTTAGTAGTGGTAGTGTACTAGTGGTAGCCATGTAGTGGTAGTGGGTTAGTGGTAGTAATCTACTGGTAGACTCTTAGTGGTAGTATTGTAGTGGTAGTATATTCTCAATGGTACAAGCACATTTATCATGTGGCCTCTAATATTTTTTAAAATTACAGTTACGGTATCAACTGTCGTCCCAGCTGACAGGTCAACATGGGAGCACTTGCGTTTCCATAATCAATATGATTTTACAAGCTTTTATAAGTGTTTTGCTCATGGTAGAGGCTTCTCGTCAAGAGTTGTTGGAGTGGTGAAGAAAAATAGTCTACTTGTAATTACAAAAGTAGTATAGTATTCAGTGGTACATATCCCGCTACTAGTTAATCGTTAAAGAACTATTGGTAGTTACCAATATTAGTTACTGGTACATGTACATGTACCAAAAATAGTCTACGTGTAATTAGAGAATGAACTAGTGCTTGATGTAACTTCAAAATTGCCAATGGAACACAAAATCCTAATAATTGCTAAACCAACATTAGTGGTTTTCTCCAACAGAATTGGTTCAAATTTAAAAAACATCATAACTAAAAGCCAACAAATGTTCAAACTTTATTCGTACTCCAAAACATACATAAAACAATAACATACTCCTTAACCGCTGGAAAAGAACTACTGGTGGGTCAGCTGAGTATATCCACAGAGTAGTGGTTCCTTCATCTCAATAGCTTTATCTGTTACCTTCTCAAGCTTCAGATTACTTGGGTCACCGATTATATTTTTAACTAGCTTTGCAGACCTGTTCATTAGGTAAGTTCTTATGCTCCATTATTTCTTATGTTCACCAACAAGTTTCCCTTCCTGGTACCAAAATAAAAACTATATTGTTAGACATATTGAATTACAACTTACAATACTACCACTACCAAACATTCAACCGTGATAATGTCAGAAATGTCTGTGATGCATGTACTAGTACATTTACCATTAGTAGTTGCTAGTACATGTACCAGTAGTGGTACTATGACATGTACCACTAAACTTGGTACCAGTACCGTTGCTTCTGTAGTGGTACCACGAAGCCAATTGAAAGTACCACTGTATTATACAAACAACAAACAAGCACAACAAAAAAGAAAGGGCTACATGTTTAGGAAACCGACGACAAATCGGCGACGTTGCAAGGGTTTATTTTTTTGGGGTTTTGGGAGCAGACGGGGGGAAGAGGGATGATGACCAGGGGAACGGTTTTTTTGCGGGGAAGGTGGTGGATTAGCCTCCGAAAATCTTTCCCCTTTCAAAACCGAAGATTGCGTGTGATCATACGTGGAGTGGGGAGTGAGCGGATCCAGTGCGTCACCTCTCTTTTTTGCCCCTAATGAATATCAGCCACCAGATGAAGAGGAAGGAGGATCTAGGGTTAGGAAGGGGGAAGCGAAAATCACAACCCCTCTAGGGGTTGTGACGCTATCTAATCCCCATCGAAAATTAACAAGAAATGAAGGGTTCCATACGGAGAAATTAAGCAAGACCAACCAATTGCTCAAATTGGAGCACTCATCAATATTTATCTTATAGGAAAATAGCAATGTTTTATAAACCATTCGCAAAACTCAGGAAAATTCATAATTGCCATCAACCCTCCACTAGCAAATGCCATACACCCTCTTAAACAAAGAACCCTACTATGTTTTCAAAGAGATTATTTGTTTGGGTGGATCAATTGAAAGACGAGATAATTTTTCTGATTGTCTCATTTTATAAAACGATTCAATTCGAATTGTTTGCCTCCACCGAAGTCAAGTGTAATTACCTCAAAACGAGTCAATTTAAAATTCTCCAAGCATAATTGCTTCATCTAAATAGTAAATTATGTGTTGCCAAACTGATCAATTTGTCCAAATTGATCTCAAAAGTCAAAACGAAATAATTAGGTCAAACTGATCCGTTAGAATTCCGGATGCAAACTACTCCTAGGCCAAATTTGCGGGTTTAAAATGAGCTAACTTATCCACATCAAATTTCTTTCATTACCATAACTAAACCTGTTCAACAAAATTAATAATAGGAAACTGGTTCTAATTAATATAACAAGAAGATTTCTAATCATGCTACAGGTATGTGGTAACTACCCAGTATTAAATTTATCTAACTGAATTGCTCACAGTTTCACTTTTTTGCCCCCTTAAAAAATCAATCCAATAGGTGAGATTCATCCCCCAATGACATTGACTATCAACAACAACAACAACAACGCCTCTTTCACCCGTTTCATAGTTCATCAATTCAATAACCTTCTCTTTAATTCCCCATAAAGACATCCTTATTTTCATTAATTATATCATCAATCCCACCGTTAACACTATATAAACTTATTTTCACTATACTGCCTCAAATCTCACACACAAGAAAAGAAGAAATATAGAGATTTCGATCAGGTTGGATATCAAGATGGTGCCAGTAGAAGATGAGAAAGCTCTTGTTTCGGAGTGGTACTGGTACTACTATTGGTGGTGGAACATCCCATGAAGAAAGTTTGAATGTGCGGAAAACAGTATATGTAATAAGGAAGTGAAAATTCTCCTGTTTAGGAATATACTTATGATGCAATAATATGTAATTTTCACTTATAAGTCAATTTCTATTAATTTTATTATATTCTGAGTTATAGTTCTACCTTTTCTTCTTTGCAAAAGATTGATAATATATATGGTTAGCCTGCTGAGATCTCTTACTAAGCAAAAGACTGATCACAATTGTTGGTGTGTCACCAAATAATCAGTCAAGAGATTAATATTAGAGAAAAATGATATAAAGATTAACAAGCCAATTCATTATATATAGAGTCGTTCAATTTGATTTTGGTTTTTTGAATTTAACCGAAATCAAACAGATAGGAAGTTTAATGATTTTGATTTTCGATCAAGGTTGTCAATCCGCGTGCTGACCCGGATCCGGTCGAGCTAGTGGATCAAGAGTTATGGGTCACCCGTTTTATTACGGTTTAGCCCACAAATGTGGAAAGAGTCATTATATTGTACTTATCCTGATAAATTATATCAAATCTCATCTAACATATGAGTTATAACATATAATATTCCACCAAAATAACATGGTCGTACTTAGATCCAACATTTAGTGAAAATTCACACACACTTATATAATATATATAAAATAAATGTTCAACTTAGAATTCCAAAAAATTGAGTTAGGCGAAAAGAAAAATTGGAAAATAGGCGCATTTCGCAAACCAAAGATAAAAATGACACAATTTGACCTCCGACCCGTTTTTCTCACCGGGTCAGGGTCGACCCGCGGGTTGAAAACCTTGTTTTAGATTTTAAAAACCGTTTAGCATCAATGTTTTTGGTTTCGGTCAAAACAGAAAATCAATAAAAAAAGTTTATGCTAGCAAAGTCAATATCCGTTAGCAACATGCGTAGTCTCCAACTTATGTACAGCGGCGGATCCAGGATATAGTAGTGCACTGGGCCGCATTTGAATAGAAAATTAGAAACCGTTAAAAAAAATGATAGCTATAATTTTCATTACAATGTCAATTGTACATGACGATTTTTTAATTTAGCGAATTCATAAAATAATTGAATCTTCATCCATAACAATAACATACTCTTTCTCAAAGAAAATAGTTAAGCAATCCGCGGGAAATTCATCGCTCATTTTGTTGCTTAAATAAGTTTCACATATTTCATTGTTGAAAATATTCTCTCCGTAGTAGCCATTGGAACGAACTAGGTTAACACTAGACGAATCAACCAACAAATCAATGTGTAGTGTGTATCCATCCTTGTTTCCACCAGCTTCTCTAGTAATTTTGCAAGAGAAGAAACTTCATATTACTGGCTATGAACCACATGAGCGGTATAATATCGTGGATCATTCTTCAAAGAATGCATCTAATAGCCTTCGAAGTCTCGATGATAAACTCTTGAGCAAGTTTGTAGATATTTTCTTCATAAAAAATCAGAAATAACTTTTAGGATCTAGTGAACCCCTCAACTGAAGCAATTTAAATGATGACTCAACAAGTTTGTTAATATTTTCTTCATCAAAAGACTGGAAAGAAAAACAGCTCCTGACGAACTAGCGAAGTAATCCGTTTCGGGTTCGTTCGTCTCCTCGTTCTATTTTTTTTTTTTTTGGAATTGGAGGAATTTTTTGGGTTTTGACAGAGAGTTTGATGTTTAGTTTAGAGGTTTTTATTTCAATTAAACTTTCTACTTTTAGTCTTTTACGAGTAAGACTTTTAAGTTTCATTGTTCATTTTATTCTTTTGAAATGAAAATTATTTAGGCTAGAATTTTTAGTATAAATTGAGAGTAGTGGTTTGGATATGTTCATCTATACTATTTTCAAGTTACACAAAATCTTATTATCAAATAATACTGGACTGAATTTAAATAGCACTAGGCCGAACACCTAATATCAAAAAATTGTTACGTACTATACTAACTCGGGACCGCAAGAGGGCTGGGCCGGGGCCCGAGGTGGCCCAGCCCTAGATCCGCCACTAAACAGTTAAAAAACTTATCAACTTTTGGTTAACCAATAACCGATAACGTCCCTTATTGAAGCTTGAAGAAATTTAAAGATGCATGGTGGTAAATTTCTCTCTTCTTGTGTTTGTTTTCTCTCTTCACATGAGCTAATTCTCTTGAAGTTGGTTAGATGTAGATGAAGTGATGACCCCTAAATTAGTTTTTGGTTTTAATTTAGTTACTCTCATGAATTGAGTGGTGTCTGTCTTTCATTTATTTATGAGATTGATCACCATTATTTATGTGTGTTTGTTGTCCCAGAAGAAAATATCACCAAAGATTGATTGAACATCATAATAACTCCCTAGATTAAGGTGACGATTTTTTTTTTGCAACATTGGAGGCTAATAATAGCCGAAGAAAAAGAAACAGCAGGGAAGGGAGAGGAAGGATTAAGAGGAAAAAGGGGTTTCAGGAGTCACAACAACATTCCTGGTGAAAGTTTGTCTCCTACGATCGTCGCCAATGAGAGGTTGAAGTCCTTGGGGTGGTGAGGTTAGCTCATGCATACCGTAGGGATAGACGAGACTGTGCTTCGAGAGCCAGTCCGCGACTCTATTCCCTTCCCGATAAGTATGGACTAACCTAACCACCCAGTCTTGAGCAAGTCGTCGTCTTATCGCTGCAAGGAGGGTCGCGTGAGGATGTAGAGGATCCGCCCTCTTCTCAATAAGCTGGAGGGCCAGTTTGGAGTCGGATTCCACTATGATAGTTCTGCCACCACTTTGCCAAGCCACCCCAAGTCCGTGATAGATACCCCACAGTTCTGCTTGAACTGCTGAGCAAGCGCCCAGCTTTGAGACAAAGCCTGTAATCCAGCTGCCCTCAGTGTTCCGCAAGATGCCGCCCGCTCCTGCCGGCCCCTGATCTCCATTGGCCGCACCATCCACATTAATCTTAGTCCATCCTAACGGAGGAGGCTGCCAGCTAATCTCTTGCGTCACACGCTGAGTTGGTGATACTCTTCGCCCCAATGAATCTTGCGGAGCCATCCACGCTTTATGCCAAAGACTTGCTTTGATCTTTATGGCCTGGGTCAAGGATGGCGGAGAGAGCGTCTTATTAATCCCTTTAAAGACCCCTTCGTTCCTGTTCTTCCATAAGTTCCAAACAACTACGCTGAAAAAGGAGTTCCAAGGGATATCATCCACCATTTTTTCTTCTTCCATCAGCAGATTAGCAGCAATCCAGGGCTCCAACTGCAGACTGAAAAACTCGTGCTGCCGTTCACCTGGGACTGTGCGAGTCCAAAGGAAGGCTGCCGGGGGACAATCCCGAAGAATGTGAATCGGTGTTTCCACCTGTGAAGAGCACCTGTAACAAAAAGGTGAAGGAGAAAGATGTCTCTTGACCCTCTGTTCGTTGCAACTGATCCTGCTATGTGCCACCAACCACATAAAGCATCGCACCCTTTCTGGCACCTGTAACTTCCACAAAGCTTTCCACATTTTGGTCTGGTCACTGGTAGTCGCGGGTTGCAGGAGTTGGAATGCACTTTTGGTAGAGAAATGGCCATCTGAAGTCAGTCTCCAAAACAACACGTCATCTTCGCTTGCAAGAGGGTCGACCGCCAGGGCAGTGATCCGGTCAGTCACGTCGGCTGAAAGGATGGTGTTGAACCTCTCTGTGATCCAGGCTCCTTCATCATCTACAAACTCGACGATCGCGGCCTGTTTATCCTCCTCCGGAATTGGTCCGGTGGCCACTTCCTGCAAGGGTACCTGCGAGATCCAAACATCAGACCAAAAACGGGTAAGGTTTCCTTTGTGAATATTCCAAGCACAACCCTTTCTCAGCAACTCTCCGGTTCTGGAGATGCTGTTCCAGGTGAAGGAACTTCCCTTTATAGGCTTCAAGAGGTCGAGGTTAGCTCTGTCTTTCCCATATTTGGAGCGCATGAGCTGGGTCCACAAGGTCTCCTTCTCCGTCAAGAGCCGCCATCCGCATTTGGCTAGCATGGCCAGATTTACTTCCCTGGTCGGACGGATCCCCAGACCTCCCACTTCTTTCGGTTGCGTTAGCTGTGGCCATTCTACTAGATGAAGTCTTCTCTTGTCTTCTGAATCCCCCCACAGGAATTCGCGGTTGACTCGATCGAGTGCCTTACACACCGTCTTTGGCAGCAACTCCACCTGCATAGGGTAAATAGGAATCGAGGCTGCCACTGATTTGATAAGGGTAATACGAGCTGCGATTGAGAGATGCTTAGCTTTCCAAGGGGCTAGTTTCCTCTGAATCTTGAGGATAAGGTCCTGGTATCTGCCTCGTGTCACTCTGCCATGTATAGCCATAACTCCCAAGTATCTACCAAGGTCTACTGTGAGAGGAATCTCCATTCTTGCGCTGAGGGCTCGGGCTCTCCGTCTAGAGATGTTTGCAGAGACGAACATTGCTGATTTGTGAAAGTTCACCTTCTGGCCCGAGCTGTTGCAGAATTCGTCGAGACATTGCTTTATTATCCTAACCTGCGAGCTCCCTGCTTCTGCAAATAACACAAGATCATCTGCAAAAAAGAGGTGGGAGAGACCTGGCCCATCACTGGACAATTTTAGGGGTTTCCAAAGCTTGTCCTGGATAGCCTGGTCAATCCTGTGAGATAGACGTTCCATACACAATACAAAAAGATAAGGGGAGAGAGGGTCTCCCTGGCGAACTCCTCTGGACGGGGTGATGGGTGGAGAGAGATCTCCGTTCCAGAGAATGCGCATCTTGTTGTTTTCCACGCAGTACATAATGCAATTGATCCATGAGCTGGGGAGGCCGATTTTCTTGAGAGTATCTCGCAAGAACTCCCAACGAAGTCGGTCATACGCTTTCTCCAGATCAATCTTCATCACCACTCCTCCTTTCTTCCCCTTTTTCTTCCTGAGGGTGTGGAGGACTTCTTGCAGGACGATGATGTTATCTGTGGTTTGTCTTCCAGGTATGAAGCTGCTCTGCCGGGGGGATATCAATTTTCTCATGATAGGCTTCAGCCGATTTGCAATCGTCTTGGTAATAGCTTTCAGGCAGACGTTATTCAGACTGATCGGTCTGAATTGAGACGCCATCTCCGGGTGCTCCACTTTGGGGATGAGTACAACTGTCGAGTTGGTGATGTCCGCCGGTAGCCCTCCTGCATTAAAAACATCCATAGCCATATTGATTAAAGACCTTCCCACTACCTGCCATTCTCTCTGATAGAAAGCAGCATGGAAGCCGTCAGGGCCAGGGGCTTGGAAAGGCTTCATTTCGTGAATAGCACGATGGATGTCTTCTCCTCTAAAGGGTCTCAGGAGGATAGTAAGATCCTCTTGGTTAATACGAGGGAAGGCCATTTTCGGCATCAAATCCTTATAGTTATCATTATCCTGCACAAACAAAGAAGCAACAGAATTAAAAACCATTGCCGCCAACTCCTGGTAATCGCTTATCCATTCTCCGTTGGGGCCCTTAAGGCTATCAATTTTGTTTTTGCGACGGCGAATTATTGCTTGCTGGTGGAAGTAACCAGTATTCCGCTCCCCCTGTTGGACCCATTTTTCTCTCGATCTCTGAAACCAATAAACTTCCTCCTGTTCGAGAACTTGGTCAAGCTCCCGCTCGAGTTTGGTTTGAAGCTTGTAGAGTCCTCGAGAGAAATTGTTGGCCACTTTGTCTTGGATTCCTTGGATTCGACTAAGCAAACGCCTCTTCTTGTGGAAAATGTTTCCAAAGGTTGATTTGCTCCATTGGCTAAGACTAGTTGCCAACTTTTCCAGGGCCACGGGAAGGGAAGCTTGTTGGTCCCAGCCATCAGCAACCTGCGTATCAAAATCATTATTGGACAGCCAAGCAGCTTCAAAACGGAAAGGGCGATCAAAAGAAACATTCACTCCCTGACTCCCAATCGAGGTAAGAATGGGATGGTGATCTGAGCTGAGCCGAGGAAGATGTTGGACGGTTGTATCAGGAAAGGTCGAGTTCCACAGAGTATTGCAGAGGCTACGATCAATTCTGCTCGCTTTGTAAGAATTGGGGTTGTCTCCTCTTGTCCACGTGAAACGAGGTCCCGAGAAACCCAGGTCAATGAGATCTGCTTGATTTATTCTGTCGCTGAAGATTTTACACCTGTAAAAGGTGGTCGCAGAGGGACTGCCTGTCTTCTCCTCAGGGGTTTTGATGGCGTTGAAATCTCCAGAGAGTAACCAAGGGAGCTCATTATTAAGACTAGTGCGGACTAGTGCCTGCCACAAACTGCGTTGTTGAGTTTGGCGAGGGCTAGCGTAGATGGCTGTGAGCATCCACTTGGGAGAGGTTTTTGACGTCACTACGACAGTAAGGTGTTGGGAGCAGGCAGAGAGCACTTGAAGTTGGAAATCATTATCGTTCCAACAGAGCCAAATGCCCCCTTTCTTGCCATCCGCTTCCACACGCATGACGTTTGGAAATCCCATCCGGCCGCTGATTTTATCGGCGATATCGCCGCTCACCTGCGGTTCCAAAAGAAGCAAAAAGTCAGGATTATAATTCTTGACTAGAAGTTTAAGAGCTCTAGCCGAGGCGGCGTTACCCGCACCACCAATATTCCAAGCGAGAACTTTGAAATTATGTAAATGGCTAAAAGACATGATAAACAAAATGACAAGAAGAAACAAAAGGGGAGGAAAAGAAATTGGCGGCAGCAAAGGGATCCAATTAAGAATTGGTTGTTGCTATGGCCATCTCTATGGCCTCCACGGTAGCATCGTTGGTGGTGAGGGACGAAATCTCCGCCTCCAATCCCCGATTCGCAGCTCCCGTCCACGCATCTATTTCTTGAAGAGTGAGCGCGGCGAGGCGAGCTCGGGCTTTGTTCTTCTTTGCCTTGATTGGCGTCCATATTTGGAGAGCTTTCGCGGTAACTGGTAAGGGAGATTTCACCGGAGATTTCTGCTTCTTCCTCTGCTTCTTTTGGCTCTTCGTTCGGGTGGAAGCCGAGGGAGTTGCGCCATCGGGTCGGTGATCGATGTCCGGGTCTGTTTGGGAGATATTCACTACTTGGATGGTTGTTCCATTATTTCCAGGAAGAGTCAACAATTGTGGTGGTTTTGGGGCCGCCAACTTGGGGTCTCCGTTCCCACCGTGTAGAATAATGGGCTTAGTCCCGGACGTTGATGGGCCTGTCTCTGGAGCCCGGTGCTTGAGCGAGCTTTCGATGGGCCCCTTGTATTTAGGTTGGTTGCTTTTGGGGGCCGGCCCAAGCACTCCTTTGCCGTTGTCATTGCCCGAATCTCCCTCAACACTTGCTTTCCCTTTTGGTTTGCTCGTGGAATCACGATCTTTCCCTGTTTTACCGCCACTTGGCATATCCGACCGTTGGTTTGCTACGAAAACTATTCCTGGTGGGTTCTCAACAATGGAAGGTGTCTCTCTATTAGTGGACTTTCCTTTTCCTCCCTTCCTTTGATTAGAGATTTCAGCATGTGAGAGATCCGAATTTCCTTTTTCACTATTTCTGTTCCCCCGCCGCGATCTACGCGTAACCTGCATCCAAGGCCCGAAACCCACCTTCTCCTCCGGTGAGCAGGTCGTCGCCGGCGCCGGCGGATTTCCAAACACTACCAAGTTCAGCTGCGGTGGAGGTGGATTCAGCGTGGGACAGGTATCCTTGGTATGCCCAATCTTTCCACATTCGAAGCACACCACCGGCAGGTTTTCATATTCCAGGTACTGCCATTGTCCATCCAGGCGGATACGTGTAATCAAGGGCTTAGAGAGATCAACTTCTACAGCAATCCTAGCGAACCTTGCCCTCTGCTGGTGTAGTGTATGGTAGTCTAGCTTTATGGTACGACCGATCATATTTCCCAAAGAAAAAAGAACCTCTCGATGATATAGATGCACTGGAAATGCCGGAAGCTGAACCCAGACGATCATGGATTTTGGCAGCTTGTTAGATAGACGGAAGGCTGGAGTCCATTGCTGAATTAACAAATAATGATCAAAAATGGTCCAGGGGCCTTCCGTAAGCGCCCGGAAATAATCCACGTCGTTGCTTAACTTTACCAGAAAGCATTCTTGTCCAAGAAACATGATTTCCATAGCACCGGTCGGTCGCCATTGCGCTCGAAGCTTGTTACTGAAGATGTTAAAAGAGATTTTGAGACCAAGCGTACGAACAACAAGGGATCTTTGCCACGGTGCGCTGAGCTTCGTTCGAAGCCCTTCCGAGATTCTGAGTTCAGGTTCGCCGTTGTATAAGCCCGGTACCAGATCTTGTTCGCCCACCGGCGTCCACGAGCACACTCCACTTGGGGATCCGGTACCTGTTCTCGTGACCGCACTTGCGTAGGATGTGGTCGCTGGAGGTGTGGTACCCGCCGAAGAGATCTGCTTCGCCGGTGCATCCACTGCCATGACCTCCACGCTGGAGGGAGACTCAGAGACCTTCGGTAGTGAGTCTGCCGGGGGTGAGATCGGATCCGGAGGCCTGTCGGAGGGATTGAGAGCCGTTGCCGGAGAGAGTTGTTCAGAGCTCATGTCTAGTAGATAGATTAAGGTGACGATTAATAGGGGAATCCAAGACACACATCTTTGTTACATTATCCTTCAGATAGTATGCTAGTTGCAAGAAATTGGATTGAAATTTTATGATTTGGCTAATGAGATTAATTCTAATGCCCGAATGGTTCTCCCTTAGTTTGTTTTTATTTTTACTTCATTTAGTTAGCACTCAAAATCCTTCCTTATTGATTAGATAGCAATTATTAATTATAAGCTCAGTACTAGTAATGTTAGTCATTGCAGGACATGACCTTGTTTCCTACTACATGTTCAATTGATCTGATCCTGATAGTCCTCTTTATATATTTTTGTAGATGTATATTTGACTCAAACTCAAACATGCAATTACCATGATAACATACATAACCATCGAAAAAGGGAAAAGATAAGTAGAATTTCATAGACAATAAAATTAACATTATTACACTTTATTGAGTGTATTACACATTTTTTTTATAAACTCAATATGTTATTTCCCAGCTCCAGTATTTCCATTTCATTATTCCTTACTTATGTTTGTATCTTCACCTCTCTTCACCATTACATTATTCTTCATGAGATGTTCCACCACCAGTAATAGTACCAATAATACTCTGAAACCAAAGCTTTCTCATCTTCTACTGGCACCATTTTGATCTCCAACTTTGTAGGATATTGTATGTTTATTTTAGATTGAGTTTTTTAGTGATTCTTATGTAACAATTAATAAATGTGGAACAATCATATTTAATGCATGGAAGGTTAGGGAACTGTGTGGCAGGAGTTTCTATGGTCTCTTGGTATTATGAGCTGTCTCAAAACAATCGAAAAATCTTGAATAAGAGTTACAATTTTCATACACCGTCGGAGTGTACCGGAAAAAACTCTTGTCATAGTTCCATAACCTTCGATGAAACTAAATATTGTTGTTACTTTGTTGCATGCTGGCAAATTTATTTATTGTAGGGAACTGAAAAAATTGAATCTGCAGCAAAATCCTAAAAATATATAAACTCACACCAATGAAAGATAAGAGAGCATAAAAACAAACCTAAAGTATCCAATCAAGTTAGAGATCAAAATGGTGCCAATAGAAGATGAGAAAGCTCTGCTTTCAGAATATTATTGGTACTATTACTTCTGGTGGAACATCCCATGAAAAAGAATCAAATGGAAAATTAGTGAAAAAAAATGATAAGTGGGGATTTTGAAGGTGAGAAAATAACGTATGGCGTATTGATTGTAATAAGATTTGTATTTTCTCAGAATAAAATTGCAATAAATATTGATTTTATTGTCTATTTGATTCTAATTCTCCTTTTTGTGGTTAAGTTACAAGCCTAAGTGCATATTGAACATCAATCAAATATGAATATCCACTAATTATTGGTATTAGCATCGTCTCAACTCAATACAACACGCTTAGATGGGCTAAGTAATCATTGAATACATCCACTGAATATGCACCTAATTCGAATTCATTTAGTCTAAATTCATCTGAATTAAATCCAATGGATTGGAGAATTGATAAAATGGATTAATGGATTTCCATAAAGTTACAATTTTGTATTTATTGTTTGTGTACTTTATGTTTTAGCCTAAAATTTAATTTTCTTATCAAGAAATTATGTCAACAATTACTTTTGAATTCCTAAAGTTTTGAAGTATGACATTTTAGTACTTTAAACTTTTAATATTTATGAAATGGTCCACAAAACTAAATGCAACTGGAACCCATAAATTCATTCAATTCATCGAGTCCATAAACGTCATAATCAACGAATACAATGCATTACTCAAGGTTGAGTCTCCATCTCAAGACCAAGAAAGTAAGTCCAGCCGCCCAAGTCCTTTAAGGTGAACGCCGAGTGCAACCCTTGTTTTAACTGTCGAATGCCAAGCTCATCATCCCCAGTAATAACCACGTCATCAATATACAAGAGAAGAACCACGAGGCCAGCTGCAGACGACTTAGTGAACAGGGATGGATCATTCCGTCTTTGCTGAAACCCAGCTATAATACAGTAGCCTGAAATTTGTCAAACCATGCCCTAGGTGCCTGCTTGAGACCATACAATGATTGATGAAGTAGACACACTTGATCAAGGGTTCCCAGAGTATAGCTTGGAGGACGCTCCAAATACACCATTTCCTTCAGATCACCATGCAAAAATGCATTTTTCACATCTAATTGAAACATAGGCCACCCTCTAAATGCAACAACAACAAGCAAAGTACGAACGGTAGACATCTTTGCAACAGGGGAAAATGTCTCACCATAATCTACACCTTACTCCTGAGTAAACCCCTGAGCAACCAATCGCGCCCTACAGCGCGCAACTGACCCATCTGGAAGCATATTAACCCTGTACAACCATCGACACCCAACCACAGGAACTTCAGGAGGGGGCCGAGGAACCAATAACCACGTACGATTAGCATGTAATGCACCAAATTCAGTGTCCATAGCCTTGTCCCAAATTGGATTACCTTTGGCCTGTTTGTAACTCGTACGAACAATGATGGCCTCAACCCCATAAGTAACAAAGTCATCATACTGATGAGGGAGTCGTGCAGTTGGATCGACGCAGAGCTAGAGGGGTCTCAAAAGATGATGGCGCAGATCCACTCGACGTCGAAGATGTTGAGGAACCATACCCAAAGTTAGTTGAGGAAATGGAGGTCGAGCTGCTAGCTGGGGAAGTCAGAGATGACGGGGCGGGGGAGGGGAGGGAGGCAGATCAGGGCTGGCAAGGGATGTGTCCTCCGTGGGCGGATCATCCAGAACGTCATCATCATAAGGAAACATCGGAAATGGAGTATAACACCCTGCCCTATACGTTTTGCCTAATCATATTGTTCATATAATTGCAGCAGAAATAATCTCGGGTGTTACATTAATTATCAAAATTTACCAAAATAAAATGTCGACATGAATTACTCGCGTAATGGGCTAACAGTTCTTGTAACTAAAACCTACAAAATAAATTATCTGAATCCATGCATTCAATGACAAACATATATACTCACAACCATATACATGGGCTTTCATAGCCATAGTCACAGTTTCATACTACACAACTGCATACCATACTGATACAAGCCATAATCATCACAACTTACACAATTACAAAAATATACACATATCATCAACTTTCCACACCTGTGGATATCTCACACTACATCAGAAGCTAGTATGCACATGAAAAACGTTCTCAAAACATTTTTACAAAAAGGTGTGGATCACTGGCCAAAATCCCGAGTAGTAGTCCAAGCACAGAATAGTTGAAGACCATACCTCATCTTGGCTTCAACTCTAGCTCCTCTCCCACCTAACACTTATCTACTATTGCTGCTGATGATCTGCTTACACATAGCATAAGCAGAGAAGAAGAATAAAAGAGGGTCAGCTCATAGTTGAGTGTGATAATCATAGCATTGTGAGTTCATAACAGAGCATACCCCTATCATACATCTAACAATCAAGCCAAAACACTAGGATCGGACCTCACCCATCCTCATATCCCAATAGGCAAAAGACTCAACCACCTTGACTTATGCATATGCATCTTATCATGTTTTAATCATAGGCGCCTGGCTACTCCCATGCTAATTACTCTCCCGGGAGTACGGACCAAACATCTCGTGGATGTGGTCATATCGGACCCACCACTGTCGGTGTAGTCATATCGGACTTGACACCACTCTGGGTGTGGTCATATCTCATGATGAATCAACGGTCAACACCACATTAGGGGTGTGACATAACATATCATAACGGAGTAATAGCATGGGGAGCCCTAATTACTATGTAATTGACCATGAGACCAAAGTACTCTTACTTGGTATCCTTATCCATGATCCATATCTCATCTTGCTTAATCATAATTCGCTACTTGCACATGTACTTGACCTGGCCACAATTGACTCAACATAGGTAAATCAGGAGTCGTATAATTGCACTTCCACGAGATAAACCCTCGTGCAAGTCATCCTCCTTAAACGTCATAATATCACCAGGGAATATATATTTTCCCACATGTGCATCCAAATACAACAATCATGAAAAATCATACCCAATCACCTTTTCGAACCATCATAAGGCATATCAACAGTCAAGCCCATAATTTGCAACATATACGAAATCATCAGCATAAACAAGGTCCATCTCGATTAGGGCAAGTCATTAATATCATACAGTAGTCCATGGTTCATCATATAGCACAAAAGTTCATACACCCTTAATCATGCCATTCTAGTTCACCTAGGTCAATTCTAAACATCAATATAATTATCGTGATACGACAAACCCGGTATGTTGTGCTAATCGGAAAAAATCCCAAAGTACACTAGTTCTTAAAAAAAATTCCCAAAATACATAAGTTATAAAAAAATTTCCAAAAGTACACATGTTTGAGCATCACCGTTTTAGACAAAAGCGGTGAAGGTCATCACCGCTTTTGACTAAAACGGTGATGTATTCACCGTTTTTGACTAAAACGGTGATGTATTCACCGTTTCAAACTAAAACGGTGATTGCTTCACCGCGTCAGAGAAAAACGGTGAAAAGCACTGAACTGCGTCCAAACTTTAAAACAACGTAACTTTGTGCTCGGTTATCCGATCGTAGCGAATTTTTTTTTTATCCCGCATAATTTTTCGAGATCTTGCAAGCCGCAAACAGCCGGAGGCGGTTTGGTCCCGCCTTCGTCTCGAAAAAATGTCGTTTGCTACCCCGAACGACCCTTTTTTCGATTTCGTCAAACTTTGAACGACCATAACTTTGTGCTCCACAATCCAAAAATCATGAATTTTTTTTTGATTTCGCACAACTTTTTAAGGACTACAATTTTTATCATAGACATAATTTCGGAATGCACTTGGATTCATGAAAAGGGAAGGTAAAGTTATTCCCAAAACCCCTTATATCCATAAATAATTCATTTTTTGAAAATTCTCTCCTACTAAAAATTGTAGTCCTTAAAAAGTTATGCGGAATCAAAAAAAAATTCATGATTTTTGGATTGTGGAGCACAAAGTTATGGTCGTTCAAAGTTTGACGAAATCGAAAAAGGGTCGTTCGGGGTAGCAAACGACATTTTTTCGAGACGAAGGCGGGACCAAACCGCCTCCGGCTGTTTGCGGCTTGCAAGATCTCGAAAAATTATGCGGGATCAAAAAAAAATTCGCTACGATCGGATAACCGAGCACAAAGTTACGTTGTTTTAAAGTTTGGACGCAGTTCAGTGCTTCACCGTTTTGCTCTCACGCGGTGAACCAATCACCGTTTTGCTCTCCCACGGTGAAGCAGTCACCGTTTTGCTCTCCCACGGTGAAGCAATCACCGTTTTGCTCTCACGCGGTGAAGCAATCACCGCCCTTCTCTGACGCGGTGAAGGCCCAAACATGTGTAGATTGGGAATTATTTTCATAACATGTGTATTTTGAGAATTTTTTTTAAAAACATGTGTAACTTGGGATTTTTTCCGTGCTAATCCCTCATCAGTTCTAGTCGTTCAAACACCGATTTTAGCTTCTCGTACTAAAACGTCAATTTCACGAACAACCCCCGAATTAAAATCCGAGGCAGTCCTAATATCCCCTGCAGTATCCCCGTCAATATTAGTTCTAGGCTCCGGGTCAAATTCTAGATAAAAACACATCAAACCCTGCCCAGAGCTAAATTCGCGATTTGGACCCCGACCTAAATAATTGTAACACCCTAACCCGGCCGGGTACTACTTTTACTAAAATGCCCTTGATAAATAAAATACTCAAATCTTAAATTGCAGCGGGAAAAATTTTAATAAATAAAATACTAAAACACACTTGTAGTTCAAAGCAACGCCCTAACACATGGGCAACTCGATACTCAAAATCTCAATGGATCTCCAGTCTATACTCATAATCATAAATGTAAATAACTAATAATCTCCAATGTTGTTGCTACTGAAACCTTGACTAAGAATCCTCTGTGACGCTTATACTTCCCTCCTCTAGCTGGCTGTCCTCGAACTCGTTGCTCACTAACTGCTCATCTAGCTCCTCCTCTAGCTCTTCAAACTGGTGAGTGAGATGGGGTCAGTCTACGCCCTTACGTTTTAAAAATTCTAATACTTGAGTACTTTACTTAAACACTTAACTTTGACTAGTGGAAGTTGTTTGTACTTCCAATCTGAAAATCTTAACTCTTAAACTTTGAGGGAGTTGGAGTTCCTCTCCTCTCTTAA